ACTTGAGCTATACCTCCCCCCGTTATTCGTAATGTTATTAACCTTAGTAGCATTATATTCTAATCACTTGAGCTAATTGACAAGATGAAGGCTTAGTAAGAAAAAGCTAATATCAAGGTGACTGGATCTTTAGAAAACTGAGATTACCTTTGCTACAGCAATTGAGAGTGTTGAGTTTCAAAACTAATTTTTTGTTTGTTTTTGTTGGTTGAGGATCACTTATTTCTTTGAATTTCAGCAAAAATTTATTGAAAGATTTAGTTAGTGAGCAGAATATATGGGTAAGTGGATTTGAATAGATCAATTCCAATGCCAGTAATAGCCATCTATAGATAAGGATAAGTTTAAAAAAAAAGTTGTTGTTGTTTCTAAATAGTGTGTCTTTGGGCTGCTGTAACAAAAATTCTGTAGACCAGGTGGCTGAAACAACAAACATTTACTTCAAAGAGTTCTGGAGGCTGGGGTATCCAAGGTCAAGGTGCTGGCAGATTTGGCGCCTGGTGAGGAACTGCTTCCTGGTTTATAGATAGCTGTCCTCTTGCTGTGTCTTCACAGGACAGAAGGGGCCAGGGTGCTCTCTGGGGTCACTTATAAGGGCACTAATACCATTTGTTAGGGTTCCACCCTCATGACCGAATCACACCCCAAAGACCCCACCTCCTAATACCATCACATTGCGGGTTAGGATTGCAACAGACACATTTTGTCTTTCACATATGAATTTAGTCTACAGTACAGTCCTTTATTCCATTTCTCTCCTCCTCTTTCATGCAAATAAAAATATTAAAATATGTGTACCTCAGCCTTCTGGGATAGATTGTGATTGAGGCTGGGAGTCAGGAAGGATAAAGCCTTCACCATCTTGATGGAGGGTGTGCTCCAACACTGTTCGTTTGTCCTCCTGAGCACTGGTCATGGACTTGTAACAGACCAGTGGGATGGCAAACATGAGTCAGGAACAAACTGCCCTGTTAGGTGGTGGAAAGCAGACACACTTGGTTCTACCAGAGCTTGTGAATGAAGGTCAGAGAGCCACCCTGGGGAAGCGACGGATGAGCTGAGATCTGAAGGGAGGTGAAGAGTAGCAGAAAGAGTAGTGGGAACAGCAGGTGCGAGGCCCCTGAGGCAAAAGAGAGCAGGGCTCCCATAAAACAAGGCCTCGTGTAAGATGGGAGAGGAGAGGGGAGAAGGGGCCAGTGAGCAGGGCTTTTTCATTTCAGAACACAGAATACAGTTGTGGGGATTTTAAGCAGAAGGGTAATGCTGAGTTGCAACTTTAAGCAGAAGTCTTTCTTTCTCTAGTCTCCCTGAAGTTGTTCCATTGCCACAGAGATAGACCAGTGTGAGTTATTCAGATAATCTCAGTA